CTTGAATCCTCATTTGGAAAATATTTTGGATATTAAAAATCTCCATGATGGCTCTAAAATCAACTTGCAACATTAACAATATAATTTGAAGCTCAAAAAATGATAGAGATCTTCCAGATCAGCGAAAACTTATTTTTAAGGCGCAAAAGATGGTCTAGATAATGTGTTACAATATAAATTAAATTAACGTCTTGAAATCCTAATTTTGTTTACAACCATAATAATCCAAGGTCGAGACGATCGATTTGAATGTTTCCTAGTGCTAAAGCTACAATTTTGGGTGAGTTTTGAGGTGATGCTTTACTTATTTTAATCGGACTGCAGCCCCATGAAAACATTTTCCTTCATAAAAATTGAAAAATATCAATTTTTAGAGTTCAAAATCCTTTTCTTTCCCCTTCGGTTTCATCATTGCAGATGTAGAGATTATCAATCTATACAATTTTAGATCTTAAATCCATATCAAAGATAGATTTTTTTAAAGAAAACCACAATAGAATAGAAGAACCTCCTCCAGTTCTAAACTACCCTGTTACAATGGTGTTGGGCAGGGTTATCATGCCTTATTATAACATTACGTCAAATAGGACATAAAATGTGTATGAGCACGTCAAAAAATTAGGGCGGGCAATGGCAGCCCAGTAGGTCTACCCCTAAAAACTTGGGCGTGGGGTACAAAAATGTGACCCGAAGACCGGGCTAGGGCAGAGCCACCGTTGTCCAAGGGCCACGGCCAAGGCCACAATAGGCCCGGCCCGGTTCATGCTCCCTTATCTAGACCAGTTTTTCTAATTTTGTTCTATATTTCTTTAAGTCTATTAGGCCCGAACGTGGTCAGGGCCAGGCCTGGGTCCACGATCTCTTTGGCTCGGTCCATACAAAAAATAATACGCAGGCATCTGTCATTAAAAAAATTAGGAGTAACACTTCCTCTCAAAATTGGCCATCAAGAAATGGTTGTGGAGTGTGCCTCATGCTTTAATATCATTAAAATTCCCCTAAGTTAGTGGCCATCAACATGATAAAAATACACCTTATCATAACGCAACTTGTGAGCGCATTATCTGGTTACATGCCTAACTAAAATTTCCACCAAGGATTAGCCGTTCACACTCATGTTTTGGTTACACTAAAGCTTTTTTTTTTTTACTGTTTATTTATTGTTTGGTTAAACTCAATTACTGTTACATGGATTATCTTGACCATCATAATCATAAGTCTAAGAGTTCTTTGTTAGACTTAAAAGTGGTCTATTTTATACTCCTTTTGGAACCATTCAGTCATAAGTCTTCAAAGACAATCTCATCCATTTTATTTTTGAAGCCCCAAATTCATGAGAGGCAGAAATAGATATTCTTGACTGAAAGTGTGTTTCTGGCCCTAAAACCCTTGAAAATTAGATCAAATGCGTTAATCAAAGGACCTAAACGAAAACTTTTCTCTTAGTTTGTTGATATTTGGAAGTAGGGTGTACAGTTTGTATTTCTCTGTGTTTCCTCTTTTTTGCTTTGAACTTTTGGAGCTTGGCTCCCTTGATTAATGAAACTAATCTCAACGTTCAACCAAAAAAAATAGAAAAATCTGTAAAACACTCGAAAGTACCCAGTGAAACTAAACGGTGATTCTTTTTCTTGGTTAGTTGGGTCGAATAGAAATATAAATGGTGCCCATAATTCACTGGTCATAAAGCCAAAACCATGCATGTTCAGTTATATCATACCTTAAAACATTTTCCCCTCAAAGCCCACCCACTCAAGTAAAAGAAGAGAGAACAAATACTTCAATAAATCTAAAGAAAAAGTGCTTATTTTTCAACACAACACACCATAAAAAGTTAAAAAACTCAGACCCCATGAAATTAAATAATTAAAGGCCCATTAATTGTATATCGAAAAGTTGAATATGTCTCTGTATGTGGGGGCACAAATGTCAGACTCAACATGTGCTGCACGTGCGAAATGCTTTCTTCCAACTCTAATGGTTGCCAGGGATTCATCCTTTACCCTTAGCATTTTCATACCTTAGTTTATTCGTAAAAAAATATCGTTTCACTGGTATTTAAGTCACCTAGTGGACACATTAATGTTGCTTCTACAATTTTACTTAATTATGATCTTGTTCTATTTATCGATTGTATTGTTTTGAATCTGACTTTAATCTTGAACTTGGATAGACATGAATTCAACACGTTCTTTTGTACCGTGTCTATAACTTTAGAACATACTCCAAGGTATACGAATTTGAAGCGGTAGTGAACCCCTCTTGACCAGAAAATTTTGAGCAAGTCAAATTCTTGAATTCACGAACACTCTAATTAAAGGAAAATGTTTATATAAGGTGTCAATCTTATTACGTACGAGTAAGGTCCACCTAAAAAACTCACCAGAAAAGGTTATTTCTATGCTGGAAAACCCTCAAATTTCATCTCAACCTATAAAGTCATAGACATGAGAAAGGGAATTTTCTAGTCTGAAAGATAGTTCATCTTCTAGCACATCCATTTTCAAGATTTTTAAGTGTTTATAGATGTTCTTGATCATCACCATTTCTGAAACTTTAAATTCCATAGTTGGGAGCAACAGTGGATTTTCATATCATCACAAGGCTTTGCGGCAACTGCATGTTTAGCATAGATTTGAGGTGCACCATAAGGTGCAATAGTATAAGGTTTACACCTTATACAAACCTCACCCCTAATTAAAATCAGGGAGTTGGGATTCCATAAAGTTCGAGGAAAGCATCCTATGATCCATATATATAACCACGTACATCCCCTCTCTTTCCATCGTCGTCCACTTCATTTATTGGACGGTGATGATTCCCAAAATTGGGACATCTAACCTAATCTTTGACCTTAGTAGGAGGTGTTTTTAAAAGAATTCAACCTTGGGATTTTCAAATATGGCAACCAGGCATAAAACATTACAAGTTGCATAAATCAAAATCATCTTGGGCCCCACATAGCACATGGGGACTTATGTAACATGTGGAGAACTCACCCCCAATAAAAATAATTTTGAACGTGTAGACCATGTCCAAATAATAATTATAAGGGTGCAGTTTGTATAGAGCCTGGGCTCTAACAATCAAATTAGAGCCTACCTTTAAATAGTGTAGAGAAATGTAATTTCAATATTGAAAACCAACCTTTAAATAGTGTAGAGAAATGTAATTTCAATATTGAAAACCATTGTGATAGCCTTAAAATATATTTTCATCTTTATTTATAAAGTTTAAAGCCTCAAAATAGTGTAAATGGACATATTTATGAAAACTTGAAAATCTTAAGAATTGACGGTCCAAATATGTATTACAAAATACACTATTTCTAAAACTTGAAATCCATTTTTTTCTTATGTCCATGCATCTTGATGTCGAGATGATCAATTTGAAGATATTTGGGCATCAAAATAGTCTCTTCTAGTAAAATTTTTGACATAGGCTCTAACTTGATTGTTTAGAGCGTCGGCTCTATATAAACTTTTCCCATAATTTATAATTCCATTTTCAACGAATTAGAATATCAAGCTCTTTTTTTTTTTGTGTTGATTTTTCATTAATAAATTGAGTAAGGAGATAAGGAGAGGTGGAGAAGATTTAGGAAGAAAATATAAAATAATCCGTTTACTTTATTATTTATGAGTCACGGTCAAGTTAATGGAATATTGTTTACACGGTCAAGTTAATGGAATATTGTTTACATAAGCAATAATATCGAAACTATTGAAAAGTCATAATAATGAGTTTCTCCTCTAACAAAAACAAATACTAATAAATTGATGCGGTGAAGATGGCGAACCTTTGGATCTCTTGACTTTTATGTTAGGGGTGACAGCTAAGGACAGAAGCACAATCTTTTGGGATTCAATGGTCTAGATTCTATATAACCTACCAAAAAAATAATGCAAAAAAAATGATTACTGTGAGGACAACATTAAAGTTGATTATGATGATTAAATTCAGTTGAAGTTTATGTATTTAATATGTAATTTAATTTTGTTATGACATTTAGCAGTAACAATAATTAATTACTAGTCGACACAGAGGAAGAGGAGCATATTTCTAATAAATGATAGCACTCCCTTGCAAAATCAATATGATGAAGTAATGCATCAAAGAGATTTCATAACTAGCTCTATAAACTTTAAGGGATTGTATATTTTGAAATTATTTATTTTTAGTATGACAAGGTCACGATTATTTTTAGCCATTGAATGTGAGATACAATAGATGAAAGTGTGTCACAATATTGGAAAAATTTTATTTTGGACTTTATACTCAATCACTCGATTTCAAAACTATAAGCCAATGATGATTGTGACCTCCTTCTGTGAAAAATAAATGGTCACATTGTATACATTTCTAAACTTTAACATTAAAAAAGGAGGCCTATAGAATAATACCATCTTGTATTTTGTTTAAAATGTTAGGAGGAAATATGTTTGGGTTGGAGCGGTTAGGAGTCAGCATTAGAAGTGGTAGACGTCAAGTTGGTAGATGTCAAGTTCGAATCCTACAGTTAACTACCCAAAAACAGAAAAGAATTGAAAAGAAAAGGTTGTACTTATTGAAAAGATCACAGATGCCTGTCCTTCGAAATTAATATATATTCCATATGAAGTTTCACCCCAGCGACAAAGTCTTATTTGCTGAAATGAAGTTTCACCCCATCGACAAAGTCTTATTTGCCGAAATGTCTTCTAAGTTGAATATGTAGATAGAATGCATCTTTGAAAAGTCTCACGCTACCATTTTCCAAAAAATACATGCCAATTAGACCATACTGTATAGAGGATTCACGGGAAGCCAGAATTAGATCGAAACAGTAGGACGGATCAAGCTTCACTTCGATCTAGACCTAAAATCCGAAAGGGTTTTAGCCGATATCCGAAAAGCTTCGGCCGATCTAGACCTAAAATCCGAAAGGGTTTTAGCCGATATCCGAAAAGCTTCAGCCTCTTCGGCCGAAGCAAAACCGATCATGTATAGGATTAAGTAGAAGCAAATAACAAGGGGAATCTTGAATCATAATGTTTCATGTACATGAATAAAGCGAGAGAGAGTGCTCAAATACAGAAAGAAAAAGAATAGAGATAGAGTTCACTTTACGACTCAAAAGGGGATGGAGAAGGCCATCCTAGCTGGCCATCTATTTGATTGCATGGGCAATCTCCCATGTCCCTCCATTTTCACGCACTAAAATTTGACCATCTTCAAAAATTACCTAAGCAATTCTACTATGAACAAAGACATTGGAGAAAAAATAACCACACACACAGAGTGAGCCCACCTCCTTTGAAGGAGGGCCATAGGGCTAGTTTTGAATCAAGGGATCCTCCCATTTGGGGTGGGCTCGCCCCTAGGCCTAATCCATTCGGATCTAAACCACGGAGTCATTTTGTGAGCCATAGCTATCTTGGCTAAGATAGACAGGGCTCCAGCCTGAATAAGTCCCTTGTGTCTTAGTGGTGTCCACCGAGCTGCAATCGTTGCTAGACCCCATGTGCCAAACAAAGGGGGGCCTAAATGGTGGCACATACGGCGGAGCCACCGTTCGAGCCATGATTTGAACAATGTTCTCAGTCTTTGGCCTTTCAATTGGCGACGGGTGCGAGCATGCGAGCCCCAACAGCAGCAACCTTTGTGCATCATCCTCATTGTATTGTCCCTCTAATTGTGGATCGATGGCTTCTAGAATCCGGCCTTCTCTATACAAAGCCCAAACAAGGTCCACCAGAAAGCCCTTATTCGCAGAATTGGGGCGACGGCCACACACCACCTCTAGGACAACGGCCCCAAATCCGAAGACATCAGACTCACGAGTGGCCTTCCCAGTGTGAAAGCACTCAGGTGCGATATAGCCCAATGTTCCGGGGACTCCATTCAACTCAGCATAAGAGGTTTTCTCCTGATCTAGGACTCGAGCCAAGCCGAAGTCCCCTAATCGGGCATTGTAGTCGGAATCGAGCATGATGTTGCTCGCTTTCAGATCACGATGGACGACCTTCTGGTCGTACTCATTGTGGAGGTAGTGTAGGGCCGATGCCACGCCCGCGAGGATGCTGTAGCGTCTTTCCCACTCAAGGCAGCTCTCACCATCGAAGAGGTGTTTGTCCAGGCTTCCGTTAGGCATGTAAGCATAAACTAGGAGCAGCTCTCCTTGCTTGTAACACCATCCTGAGAAGATGGAATATAGATTAAGCTATATGAATGTAAATTTCTCCTTGTTAAGAGAGAAGCCAATACAATGCTATCCTAGTTTTGATAATTTAATACTTTTTAGCTAATACATGGTGGGTTTCTTCTTTTTTTTAAGTAATACATGACTGTTCTTGGATGGAGGCTCCATGGCAGAAGCATCTCTCTTTCATCCTTGATGATCTTTCACTTTGTTGTTACTTTCTCAGTCTTTCAATCTTTATCATAGGCATCTTTTGAATGATCTGAAGTTCTTTAATTAACTCCTTTTTACTTTTCAACGAAAGCTCGCATAGAAAATGAAATGACAGGAAACATTTTATCGCTATATAAATTGTCATGCCTTAAGAGACAAAAATATATGCCAACTGTTGCATTCAGAATGGATGGAACATAAGAGAAGAGACATGTATCTTGAAACTAGTTCAATAATGGTTTAAAAGGGGAAGTCAAATACAAGATCGCTAGATTATACAGAATTGCAGAAGAAAGATGCAAATTAGATGAAGTTATATTACATGTAATAAATTTGCAGCAAAAAAAGTGAGAGAGAAAGAGAGATCCACTTACCTAGTAGCCTCACCAGGTTCCTGTGTCTTAACCTGTTGATCACACTAAGCTCTGCCAAGAAGTCATCCCTCCCTTGTATGGCCTCCCTTGAAAACTTCTTCACAGCCACCACCATATTCTCTTTCTTCAGTGTCCCCTTATACACAGTACCAAACCCACCTTGACCCAACTTCATTTTTTCACTGAAATTATCAGTGGCCCTCTTCAAATCAGAAAATCTAAACTCTCGAGGTGTTCCAGGAAGGCTTCTAAGGTTTTCATGGAGGTTTCTATATTCTTTGTTTCTTCGGCGATACACGAATACCCCAACTGTGATACCCACAACTGATATAACTGCAAAAATGGGTACTCCAATTGCTAAAACAAGTCTAAGCCATGGATACTGATCATCTTCAGGCAATTTCTCAACTGAGAGATCCCATTTCACCACACAATTCAGTTGAGCTCCATCACCAGTTGATGCCGAGAATCCGAAATGAGAAACCTTTTCAACATAATTGGATAGATCAACTATTTCTGATAGGATCGGATTATCAGGCTTTTGGGTCTCCTTTTCTCTCTCTATAAACACATTCAAGAGCATAGAAGAGGCATTGTACTCCACCCACGCTCGATAATTTATACCATCTGGTGGAGTGAGGTTAAGAGCCATCTTAGAAAGAGAGAAAGTTTTGTTTGAAATAACAGAGTTTAGATCCAACCCAACATGGTTATCATCCGGATCGAAGCTATCTTTAACTGTGTCAAATTCAATAGCGAAAAAATGGTTGGATGCATTCCCATCGATGGATGAGTTCGTGAGGCCAAGCCATTGGCCTGAGCTATTTTCAGGAACTGTAAAATCAGGCAAAATAGCAAAAGCCAGGCCTTCACCCACGGTTACGTTTGGCTGTCTATATGTGTTGAAAACAAAGGTAGAGTTAAAGGAAGCCATGGTTTTTTCACCTGTCGAGCTTTGATCCCAAAGTCTGAATCGTGACTTCAATACCACACGAGCTGATTTGTGGGTTAAGGAGTAATCTGAATTGACTGTATCTGGAGTGACTTGGAGAGCTCCATTATTAATGGTTGCATTGTTTTCAAATTGGAAATCGCCACGATTGGCTTCGTTGAAGTTTGGGTAACTCATTGTGATGAGGGGGTAAGCATGAGAGAGATATACATGGGTGACAAGGAAGAGAGAGAAGAGGATGAGCTTCTCCGCAGAAGCCATGGCATCCACTTTTCTTCTGTGTGTGTTTATGGGGGTGGGGAGGGGAAGAGGGGAGGCGGAAGAATATGTATGTATATGGGGGAGCTGAGCTCCTTTTTCAATGCGTTTAGGTGTTTCTTTCGGCCTGTGAATTTGCCTCAGTAGCTTCCTTTCCGAATTTATTTTCTATTTAAGTTCAACAATAGAGAGGGTGGTCAAACTGAGGTGCCCGTATACACTTTATTTATTTATTTAGTGAGAGAGGAGAGGGGACGGGCCCATGACGCAACATTTCCTATTGGCCCATGAGGCAAACCAATAAATATTATTGTAAAGTAAGAAATGTTATCCTTTTTCCGAGGATTCCACCAGGACCATACTGCACACTTACTACTTCAAACTTGCCTTCCCGGACAAAAGATCTACTTAGAGGACATCTTCCCTCTCAAATTTTGGATCAACCAAAGTATCGGTAAACATCATTTTCGAAATGAAATATTGGATTTGGCATTGTATGCTATGAGTAATTGAGTTCTAAATCACGTAAAATATGGTTGGCCATGGCACTTTATCTATAAATATATATATAGAGAGAGGGGAAAAAGCTTGGGTGAGCCCACTATCTCACATAATAGTATAAGTTCAATGGCTCATATTGAATCTAGGCCGATCGATGGTCGAGAGTATTTGAATTTTAAGTTTTTTTTATACAAATCTAAATCATTTGAAATTTTAGGTGAATATTCTTCTCATCAAGCCGTACCTAATAAAAATATAAAAAAAATAATTCAAAAAATTAGAAATAATCAATGTACCCTTGAAAATTTACAGGGGTATTTTGATCTTTTTTCATGTAAAATATTTTTTTAATATTTTTCAAATATTCACCTATTTTTTATCAACACACATCTATAATTTCAAGTGATTTGGATTTGTAGGAAAAAAAATGAAAATTTAAACAATATCGGGCAGCCATGATCGTTAGATCGGCCCAGATTCAATCTGAGCTGTTGGGCTTATTTGTTCTGTGAGCTAGTGGGCTCACCCTAGCATCTTCCACATTTATATATATATATATATATATATAATGAACTAATATTCAAAAACCATATTAGAGCCATTTATTTGACCCAAATTTTTAAATGCATTCTTTTCATTCTAATGAAAAAAAACAAAAAAGCAAATTTTGAAAATACGTCACACAGTATTTTTCTAGCCCAATTAATATATATCGTCCATTTTAATATGATGTTTAGATCTAGGCCTTAGAAAGATCTTTTTTCATTCTAAATTTTTTGGATAGCTTTAGTATCATTAGATTAACATTGTTAAAATAAAAAATATAAAAACAAAATTCACTTTGAGTTTATAGAGGCCAAGATCTTGAAATTCACCAAATGAATAGTTTAGATTCATTATTGAAGGTGACTTATTTTGCCCATATATAGGGTGCAAATTGATTATTATTATTTTGTATTGATTATTGGGATGAAGGAAGTGTATGCGTAAAATTTGGGGTCATACAAATGGCACAAGCATGGCTTTTTATTTTTTTGTTAGTTGGGCCATGCCTTAACGCTTGGGGCACTTCCCTACAAAAGAAATAACTAAAATAAATAAAATTTGAGTTGATCGAGGGATAATTTTAGAAAAATTCAAAAGAAATGGGGTGACTGACCTTCTTTGTAATTTCCGCATGGAATTGGAGCATCGTGTATCTTAGATAAAATTTTAGGGTTTATATGTAAATCACTCTAAAATAGAAGCGGAGCATTGTGTATCTTAGATTTATGAAAATCTTGAAAATTGATGATTTTGAAATCCATTTTTTTCTTATGTCCATACATCTTGAAGTCGATACGATCAATTTAAGTCCGGCCACATCGGTGTTGCTTGGGGAGAGATCGAGAAGGGGAGTATGCTGAAGCCGGCCACATCGCTGTTGCTTGGAAAGAGAGAGAGAGAGAGAGAGAGAGGCCTTATTGTTTAGGGGTTAGCCAACTTGTTGTCTTCTCTTTCGTTTTCGTTGCATTCCAAAGAAATTCCTATCAAGTTTGTCGCATCTCACTCTCTCATGTCATTGGCGGGCGCTTCGTAAAAAGTAATAATTCCATTAAAGAATATTAAAACGCAGTTTCATAGAAGGTGGAGTAGGGTTCATTGGCCCGTAATCTTGCGCTTGGTCGCCTGTTAGACCGTTCCATATTCAACAACGTAAGCACGCTGACGATTGCTCTTCATTTCCTTTTTCTATTCTTCCTTAAGTTTTATTTCTACGTAGGGTTTAGGTAGGATTGAACCTCAATGCTTAAGACAAGTTTGAAAAAGAATCAATGAAAAAGATCGCTTCTATAATATAATGGCCTACTATACCCAAAACTGGTACCTCCAAGCTGTTCTTGTGGAATGAGCTTGTGTCGTTCGCAGCCATCACCCCTGGTTTAAAAAACGGATCGGTGACCCGGATCGGGTATTTAAAAAATTGATCTGGATCTACGAATCGACGATCCGGATCGAGAATCGGGTGAATCGGTAAGAAATAAAGCTAAAAAAAAATCCGAAAAAATTATTAAAATTCATTATAAATATTGTTTTTTAGGAATTCAATAAGAAATAAAGGTACTCCATTAAGAATTTTCATGTTTTTGAATGAATATGCGAATATTGATATGTTATTTCCCTGCATGAACCGCCATTCAACATTTAATTTACATCACACAAAAAAATAAATATAGAATTATCATGAAATAAGTATATCAACATACATGGACTATAATAAAGCATAAAATTAGTAACATATGATCTAAAAATAAAATGATAGACGACGTTATTGTTCTTCTTGGTCACGCTGGTGCGATTGATTGAATTCGTTTAACAATTCATTGATTCGATCTAAAAACGAATCATCGATATTAGCAGGCATCTGACTATTCTCAAATCCCTGAGTGTTAGTGTTTTGCTGTGTTCCCAATCTAAAATCCCCGAAGCTTGTCCATCCTTCATGCTCACCTGCACTGTCGTGCTCATCCCTACACTGTTGATGTTGGGACTCGATATGTGAATAATATGGCTGGGATAGGGTGGCCTCAGAATCATCATCTCTCTTATTTTCTCTTTGAATAATATGGATTAAAAAAAAAATTAACAAATTTTCAAAAAAAATCGATCATGGATTAAAAAAAAACAATCACAAATTTTCAAAAAATTCTATCATGGATTACAAAAAAAAATTCGATCATGGATTAAAATAAAAAAATCACAAATTTTCAAAAAATTCTATCATGGATTGCAAAAAAAAATTGATCATGGATTAAAACAAAAAAATCACAAATTTTCAAAAAATTTAATCATGGATTACAAAAAATTCGATCATGGATTACAAAAAATTCGATCATGGATTACATAAAATTCGATCATGGATTACCAAAAAAAAAAAACATAAAAAAACAAAAAATTCCATCGTGGATTACAAAAAAAGAAAAAAACAATTCGATCATGGATTACAAAAAATTCAATCATGATTACAAAAATTTCTATCATGGGTTACAAAAAAAAAAAAAAACAAAATATTCGATCATGGATTACAAGAAAAAAAAACAAACATTTCGATCATGGATTACAAAAAATTCGATCATGGATTGCATAAAATTCTATCATGGATTACAAAAATTCGATCATGGATTACATAAAATTCGATCATGGATTACATAAAATTCGATCATGGATTACAAAAAAAAAAAAATTCGATCATGGATTACAAAAATTTAATCATGGATTACAAAAACCTCTATCATGGGTTACAAAAAAACAAAAACAAAAAATTCGATCATGGATTACAAAAAAAAAACAAACATTTCGATCATGGATTACAAAAAAAAACAAATATTTCGATCATGGATTACAAAACATTCGATCATGGATTACAAAAAATTCTATCATGGGTTACAAAAAAAAAACAAAAAAACAAAAAATTCAATCATGGATTACAAGAAAAAAAAACAAACATTTCGATCATGGATTACAAAAAATTCAATCATGGATTACAAAAAATTCTATCATGGGTTACAAAAAAAAAAAAGCAAAAAATTCGATCATGGATTACAAAAAAAAAAAAAAAGATCCGTATGGAACTCGCCGATTCCGTACAGTGAATCGGCGAGTCACTGTGCAGAATCGTCCGGTTCTCTCTAGAACCGGACGATTCCCATTTTTTTCGCCGATTCGATCTGTCCATGGCGATTCCCGAGTCGAACCGGGCAAGTCCGGTTCGACTCGACGTTTTTTTAAACACTGGCCATCACTATATCTCAAATTAGACTCCTACAGCTCAACTATACAACAACAAAAAAAAAAACAAAATTAGGAGCTAAGTTCAAGGTAAATCTAATATGCTTGACGCTCGATTTTGTGACCTCCAAATGATCGGTCGGTTGAGGCTGCAACAGAGCAATAGGACTTCAGATCTGTGGGTTTTTTTAGAAAGAATTTCTGGTATATTGGGACTACAAAAAAGGCTAGCTAGAGACTTGGTGTTTTTAGAGAAAGAGACGATATAGAGAGGGGAATTTCTCTACAACATTGAGTATTAGAGAGAGAGAGAGAGATGGTGCTTTACGGTGAAATTAATGGTAAAGAGAATAGTTGTTGAGAGGGTGTCATTTTAGTATTTTTTTTTATAAAAAATACATGGTCAAAGAGATCCAATGGGTTGGAAGATAGAAATAGATACAAATATTATGTTACAAGTAATATTTTTCAATCCTTGAGTCTAATAAGAAATAAAAGTAAAAAATAGGGGTTGGAAGATAGAAAAGATAGAGATCTTATGTTACAAGTAATATTTTCAATTCTTGGGTCTAATAAAAAATAAAAGTAAAAAATAGGGGATAAAAAGATATTCTCTTGATATATGAATGGTAAGAGTGGAGGGTGTGACGTTATGTTCAGGTGTTCGCCCCCTTCACCACCAATGCCCAAGCCCCAGTCGCCAATGAAATTTTTAGTATCACCTAAAATAATTAATGGTGGCAATGGGTTGAGCCCGGGCTAGGCTAGCCTGGGGTCGCCAGGCTGGCCCTAGCCCTAGCCCATCCCTTCGGGCCACAATTCGTGGCCTAGGACCAACTGTTTTAGGGCCGGGCC